CACTGGTAACAAAAATAAAATACAAGAAAAGCACACATTGTCAATCAATTGCCGGAGATCGTCGGAGCGCCGAAAACCAGGAGCCGCAGCACATACAATAGCAACAGTCAACATGAAACATGCAGGTTAACAATAATATATATCGGTATACAAAGGGTACACTACAGATCAAGCCACGGGTATCAAAATAAAGTTCAAGGAAAAGCACACATTGTCGAGAAGAACCTGCCAACGCTCCTCGAGTTGCTGGAGTGGATCGGAAAAGAGATTGTCGGAGCGCAAAGCAGCAGGAACCGCAGAACTGAAGGCAAAAGAAAAATGATCAAGTTAACAAGATATCGGACTTGCAGAATCGATTAACTAAGTTCTGAAGTCTATTCACTTTACAAATAAGCTGCCTGAATTAAGAAACATACAAACACGCTCAAATTCAACAAGAAACCAATAGGTAACAACATGAGAAATCACAGATACATCCCAGTCCCACTACTCCAATATCTAGAAAGTAGCTTCAGCCTATCATGAATAAAAGAATCCATAAAAAAACAGCGCTTTTGTATTTCCTATTTGTATTCAGCAAGAGCACAGCTAAACGAAAAGTGATAACTTTAAAATAAAACCGTTCTGGTGTTAAAAAGCTGTGAAATACGAGTCGTCTTTAATACACAAATATAAACAGTATAGCAGAAGATAAGGATAAAACTTACCTCGGAAAAAACACTTTCTAACTGGAGGCCGGTTTTTGAAACCCCTTTGCCAACTGGAGAAACAAGAAAACATACGAGTTAGTACATTTAATCTTTTCTAAGGTGTATCATTCGGGAACAGAAAGCGATATTATAGCCCGATTCCGAAAGGCGGGGATACTAAATTAGATACAGTTACTAACTTTATACAGCAAATAACTAAAGATGAATTACAGCTTTTTTATTAAAGGAAATAGTACTAGATATACCATGTCTTTAAAAACATACTTACATGAAAGGCAGTATAAGAACGCTGAATGCAGACTTTTGAAACTTCGAGAGCACGCTCAAATAGACAGGACACTCATTTCGGCGTCCTAAAACACAAATTCAACAGAAACAAATGCAATTAACAAAAGTTTCAACAACAATACATTTTGTCTAACTTTCCTCAAAGTAAAATTTTAGTTTTTGCATTTAAAATAAGAAAAGTAGAATTAAAACGCAAACGCACCTCACGCCGCAGAAACTC